ATGAATATTTGGAAGTACAATCTAAGGCACTCATACATTTACTCTAGTTATAAACCTAATCCAAATTCTTATTCTCTATGGATTCGATCCCGACTCTTGTTGGGTTTATTATTGCTTCGACCGCCTCACTACCTATTTGTGGTGTGAGTTATCCCAAGATCAATTTTTTGTGCCATTGCTGGGGAGTTAAATGGATTTAGCTATATATCTAGGTTTTTGTGTGTTTTGTCTTTCTTTCCTTCTGAGTTACTAATTTTGTGTTTGAATTGATTCTATGTACGAAAATGTCTCTCAACTACGAGCCCATCGGAAATGTGCACTTAGGGGAGGACGTGGACGATGATGCCATGGATGAGGTTCCTATTGAACCTCAAGCTAATAGACGAGGCCACCCGCCTCACGATAATGTGCCCGTCCCTCCCAACCACCACCAAGAGCGGCAGCCCACTGATAATTGCCAAACGAGGGTCAGGCAAGTGCTATAGTCTCGCCCCGTATTAGGGCGGGCAACATCCAAATCACCAACGTGATGCTTACACTACTTGAGCAACGGGGATTCTTCACCAGGGCTCCGAGTCAAAATGCCTACAAGCATCTCAAGGGATTCGTCGATACTTGTTGGGGGAGCAGGGAAACAAATGTTCTTGAGAACGCGCTGACGTTGATGCTTTTTCCCTTTTCTCTACGGGGAAAAGCATTGGATTTGTTAGAGAGGTTGCCCAACCATTCCATCACTACTTGGGATGAGTTGGCAGAAAAGTTCATTTCCAAATTCTTCTCTTTGGGGCATATGGGAATGCTTCGAGATGAGATTCTTGCTTTCAAGCAAGAACCCAATGAGCCATTGCACGAGATTTGGGAAAGATATCGTACCATGGTTAAAGAGTGCCTGAACAATGATCTGACCGAGGCCATGATCAAACATACCTTCTATAGGGAGATCAACACAACTAACCAATGTTTGGTTAATCAACTCGCCGGAGGGAACTTCATGAACACGCCATATGCCGAAGCTTGTAAAATTCTTGATGAGATGGCGGATACCTCTTCGGTGTGGCAAAGTAGAGCCAATGTACCGCAAGGTAACCCTAATGTTATTCACCTACACAAGGAGCTACATGACCATGGGCAAGCTATTGCCGAGTTGACAACTACCATGAACCAATTGGCTAAGGCTCAGCTTCAACAAGTTCAAGGGCCGAAACAAGTACATGCAACGGAAGGTTTGTATATGATGGTAAACAAAAGACAGCAACAAGGTCAACAAATGCAAAGCCGTCCGGAACAATTTTTGCAAGATGATAGTCGTTATGATCAAGGTGATTTATTCAATGATCAAGACGAAGAAGTTCAATATGTCAACAATTATCAAGGTCAAAGAAACAATGTTCAAGGACAAAACCAACAACAATGGAGGTCACAAGGGAACCAAGGTAATTGGAACAACCAAAACCAGCAAGGTAATTGGAGTTGTGGTAATTCTAATCAAAGCAATTAGAACAATCAAGGAAATCAAGTCAATTGGGGTACTCAAGGCAATTGGGAAGGCAATAATCAGGGAGGGTGGAACAACAACAACAACCGGGGGTCGGGTTTTCAAAGGCCTCCGATGTTCCAACAACCAAGCAATCCACCTTCATATCCTTTTCAAGGCTCGATCTCTTCTTCAAATGAGATGGGTAGAATTGAGAACATGTTTAAACATGTGAAGAAGAAGAACACCGACTCCGATGCTCAAATAGACTCACACAACACTTCTATTCAGATTTGGACTTTCAACTTGGCCAAATCTCATAAGCGTTGAACACTCTTCCTAAAGGGTCACTACCTAGTGATACAGTGGTGAACCTGAAGGGTGGGAATAATACGTGTCATGCCCCAAATTGGAGGGACATGACCGGCGCCCCAGCCAAGCGAACCTAGATGCCTTTCCTAACCCACATGTTACCCCATGTTTTCCTTTCCCAATTATTCCAAGAATTTGCCAAATAATTAATTAAGAACACTTTTTAATTTACAAAACATGTACATACTTACATAATAGTAATGAAATCACCAACTCGTTACCAATGTATGAAAACACGGATCTACACAAGTTTCTAACCCACATCTACTGTCTACAGAGCCTCTAATAGTACAACAGGATAATACAGTATTTGCCGGTAACAAGGCTCCGGCTATACCTTACACAAAATCAACTAAAACTCCGAAAACAATGTGGCCTGAACCACGCAGGGCCCCGAGAGGAAAGGGGCTCACCAAAAAAAGCTGATGGATGACGAAGGGGAGCTACGATCGGTGGACTGGAGTACCTGCTACGGATCAACCTACAATCATAACACGAATGTAGCGTCCCCGGCAAAAGGGACGTCAGTACATTTGAATTGCACTGGTATGTATAACAAACTTTACCCTGGGTAACCTCAAACCATACACGAATAACAAACAATAGAGGGAAACAACAATTGAATACACACAAGGAAAAACAATCAAGGCAAACAAGTTGACAATCTCTCCTTTTCCCCATCATCATTTCCACATTTTCAATTTCACAATTTTCAATAGTGATATCGATCACTTTCCACCCTTATTACCCCGGCCACCCTTATTACCTCGGCCACCCTTACCACCACAACCCACACCTTATTACTTCGTGTTGCGGCGCGCAACCTGATCCCACCGAGCAATCACAATTCATAAACAATAGCACAACAACAACAATTTACATGGAGAACAACAACAAGTTTCAGGAATAACAACAACAAATCCCAATAACAACAACACATCTCAAAGAACAACAACACAACTCACACAGAGTTTATATGACTATTAATGCCATTTCCATCTTTTTCAACAGCCCGTTGTACCATTTAAATCATAGCAATAATTTTCCACAGCTAGTCACAAAGGATGTTACCACAGTTATTTCAATATCACCAATTTCGATTCCTTTCCATCATTTATTCCACAGTTCTTACCACATAACACATTCGCAATTACAACTTGGTTTATTGCCATTTACTTGCACAACCAAATCGGACGACCAGAAAATATTTTCACTCAAATTGCAAAGATCTTTGTATGGTCTAAAGCAATCAGAATGAATGTGGTATAATCGTCTTAGTGAGTATTTATTAAAGGAAAGGTTATATAAATGATGTCATTTGTCCATGTATTTTTATAAAGAAAACAACATCGAAATTTGTTGTACTTCCCGTTATATGTTGATGACATAAACCTTTTGGAACTCCTATAGAACTCTAAAAGGCAATTGATTATTTAAAGAAGGAATTCGAGATGAAAGATCTCGGAAAGAAAAAATTATGTCTNGTTCAAAATCACTACCGAACATATTTAGGTTATTAACCCCTTCTCTGTACAAGTCTTTGCTCCCACCCAATTACTTCCACTAGGTTTATGGTTTTAATGGACATGCATGTATGATTTCAACCAATACAATCAAGAACCAATGCATGAGACTCCCCCCCTTAGTTTAAACCAGAAATTCAATGAAAAAGGGTTAGGAATTTTACCTGCAAGAAGAAGGGGATGAAGATAAGCTTGAGATTTCCCGGCCCGGATGGTTTTTAGAAGAGTTCAAATTTTGGTAGAAGTATGACTTTCTCTCTTCAAGACCCTCTCTTACCTCTCGTCTTATTTTGTGTAGAAGACCGTTAAAAAGGAGGGGCTGGGGTGTTTATTAAAAAGGGGGTCGGGTATAAAATTTAGAAAATAGAAGCCCGAGCAAGATCTGCGGTCGCATTCTGCGATCGCAGAACTGAAATGCGGTCCGCAGATTGGACCGCAGAATTGCTCTCAAAACTCTAATGATTCTGTTTGGGTCTGCGATAGGAATGCGGTCCGCATTCCTGTTATGCGGTCGCATTGTGCACCGCAGAACTGACCTTCACAAATCCTTGAGGAACTTATGCGACGATTATGCGGTCCGCATATTGGTTATGCGATCGCATAATAGACCGCATTTTCAGCATTAATTTTGACAATTCTTCTGTTTCACTCTGCGGTAGGAATGCGGTCCGCATACCAGATCTGCGACCGCATTCTGGGCCGCAGAATGGCATTTTCTGGAAAAATTGATTCTTTTGATTTTTACAAGCTTAGATCAATACCAAGGGTCCGAACCGCGGCGTTCTATGCATTCCTAACACATATTTGGAGTCGACACCACAAGATACTAGGTTTTGAGCCAAAAATTTTATGGGGCCTCATAATACGGGACATGATATGGCCTTAACTACTAGAAGTGGAAAAGGTGGAGATGCAACTACCTCAAATCAAAGAAGGATTGTGGATGAAGATATTGTGGTTCAAGAGGATGACATCCGAAGCAATGCGGTTCAAGCTATTGAAGAAGTTAGAATTGATATAGATGAAAGTGTGGAGGAGATGCAAGAAGAGGTGAACCCGTCTAGGGAACACGTGACTGACATGCCAGAATCGGCGGTGCCAAAGGCTAAGGCACCAATGCCAAGGCCTCCTCCTCCATACCCTCAAAGGCTTGTAAAGCAAAATAGTGAGAACCAATTCAAAAAGATTATTAATATGATGAAGAGTTTATCCATAATGTGCCATTAGTTGAGGCATTGGAGCAAATGCCAGGACATGGAAAATTTATGAAAGATTTGGATCGCCGATTTTTCCAAGGCATTATGTGATCTCGAGGTAAATATCAACTTGATGCCCTACTCTGTGCTCAAGACTTTGGGAATTGGGCAACCAAGACCCATATCCATGAGGTTGCAAATGGCGGATCGAACAATGAAGAGGCCTTTGGGCATTATTAAATATGTATTGGTTAGAGTTGTCAAGTTCACCCTCCTAGCGGATTTTGTGATGTTAGGTTGTGAATTGGACTTTGAGGTGCCTATCATTTTGGGTAGACCTTTCCTTGCTATGTGGAAGGACTTGTTGATGTGGAGGGCGGTGAGCTTACTTTTTGAGTGGGTATTGAAAAGGTGGTCTTCTATTTTTGCAAATCAATGAGGAAACCGAATAGTAATAAAGTTTGTTCATTTGTGGATTTGGTGACCGACGTGATGGTTAATGGTGCTAGTGCCATAATGAATGTTGAGTACAAATTGGAAGCAGTTTTGCTCAATCTTGATGATGATGAGGAGAGTGATGGCTATGTGGAATTTGTGAATGCATTACAAGGTATGGGGTCGTACACTTATGATCCCCGAAAGCTATCTTTGGATCTTGAAAACCGGAAGACTCCTCCAACAAAACCCTCAATCGAGGAGCCTCTTACCTTGGAGTTAAAGTCATTGCCCCCCGAAACTCAGGTATGAATTCCTTGGTCTTTATTCTACTTTACCGGTTATTCTTTCTTCGTGCTTAACTAACATGCAGGTATAGTCCACTTTGGAGGTTCTACAAAGGAGGAAAAGGACAATCAGTTGAACTTTGGCAGATATCCGGGGCGTAAGTCCCGCCTTTTGCATGCACAAGATTATCTTGGACGAGGGTGCCAAACCCTCAATTGAACATCAAAGAAGATTAAATGAAGCAATGCAAGAGGTGGTAAAGAAGGAGATAGTCTAGTGGTTAGATGCCAAGGTTGTCTAATTTTTGATAGCTCGTGGACCTCTGCAGTGCAATGTATCCCAAACAAAGGGGGTATGACTGTGGTGACAAATGACAAGAATGAATTTATCCCAACAAGAACCATCAGCGGGTGGAGAGTGTGCATAGACTATAGGAATCTCAACGAGGTCACTCGGAAAGATCATTTCCCGCTTCCATTTCTTGACAAAATGCTTGATAGGTTGGCCGGACGTGCTTTTTATTGCTTCCTTGATGGATACTCCGGCTATAACCAAATTCTTATGGCTCCCGAGGACCAAGAGAAGACCACTTTCACATGTCCATATGGTACTTTCTCGTTTTCAAGGGTGCCTTTTGGGTTGTGTAATGCACCGACGACTTTTCAACGGTGTATGATGGCTATCTTCACCGACATGGTGGAGGACATTCTTCAGTTTTTTATGGATGATTTTTCTAGTGGTTGAGAATTCGTTTTAAGATTGTTTGAAAAATTTGGATAGGGTATTGGCTAGATGTGAGGAGACAAATTTGGTGTTGAATTAGGAGAAGTGTCACTTCATGGTTGAGGAAGGCATTGTCCTCGGCCATAAAATTTCAAAACATGATATTGAGTTTGACCAAGCCAAAAATGAGGTGATCTCCAAACTCCCTCCTCCTACATTCGTGAAGGGAGTGAGGAGCTTCTTGGGTCATGCGGGTTTCTATCGCCAAGTAATAAAGGACTTTTCCACGGTGGTGAACCCATTGGGCAAACTTTTGGAGAAGGATGCAAAGTTCCATTTCAATGAAGATTGTATGAAGGCATTTGAGTTGCTTAAGTTAAAGTTGACTACTACTCCTATTATCACCGCACCGGATTGGAGCTTGCCTTTTGAGCTCATGTGTGATGCTAGTGATGTTGCGGTTGGAGCGGTGTTGGGGCAAAGAATCAACAAAATCGTCCATCCGGTCTACTGTGCTAGCAAGACCATGAATGATGCCCAAGTCAACTACACAGTGACCGATAAGGAGCTATTTGCTATTGGTTTTGCCATGGAGAAGTTCCAGCCGTATTTGATGGGTGCTAAGGTGATTGTTCACATCGACCATGCGGCGCTTCGGTATTTGATGAACAAGAAAGATTCTAAGGCAAGGTTGATGTGGCGGGTGCTTCTTTTGTAAGAGTTTGATCTAGAAATTCAAGACCGCAAGGGTAGTGAGAATCAAGTAGCGGACCACTTGTCCCATTTGGAGGAGGAGGGGAGGCCACATGACAGCCTTGAGATCAATGATTCATTTCCTGACGAGCAACTCCTATCCGTTTCAATGACCGGGATGCCATGGTTCTCTGATCTAGCCAACTATCATGTGATCGGCATTGTACCAAATGAGTTCTCTTCAAACCAAAGGAAGAAGCTCAAACGGGATGGCTCGGATTATTATTGGGACGAACCGTCTCTTTTCCGGATATGTACCGATGGTGTGATCTAGCGATGTGTGCCGGAAGAAGAACAAATGGGAAAGCTTCCCACTCTTCACTTTATGGTGGTCATCATGGTGGATCTAGAACGACTACAAAGGTTTTGACTTGTGGATTCTATTAGCCTTCCCTCTACAAGGACGCTAGTGAAGTTGTCAAGCATTGTGATGGATGCCAAAGGGCCGTTGGGATTTCTAAGAAGAATGAGATGCCCCATACAATCATTTTAGAGATTGATATCTGTTGATGTTTGGGGTATTGATTTCATGGGACCGTTTGTAAGCTCTTTTGGGAATACTTACATTTTTGTAGCTGTGGACTATATGTCAAAATGGGTTGAAGCCGTGGCTTTACCCAACAATGAAGCTCGAAGTGTGGTGGCTTTCTTAAAAGAGAACATCTTCACAAGGTTTGGTACTCCTAGGGCCATTATTAAAGATATGGGTCCGCATTTTTACAACCGAGCTTTTGATAATGTATACGACTAAAATCGGAGAGCCCGATTTATGGTCATTGCGACATTCCGTGGCTTCACCTGGAGGGCCTGGGGTAGAGTTCGAGGTTCAACCTCGAGGGTTCCTTAGCTCGACCTCGGGGCTGCACAAATTGATGGCTACCTTGGGCAAGCGGGAGGTTCCCAAGGCACATGACCAAAGCTGACTATACCTACGAGAGTAGTACTAGTCTGTACCAGGCTAGTAAATAGTTGTACCAGCTACATTTCTTTGTAATAATTACGCATGTACCATATTGGGATTCCCCCTCCTATATAAACGGGACCCTTATCATTTTGTAAAAGGACATTATATTCAATTCAAGATCAAAAATATTCTCTGCTCTCTAAAATTAAACATATTCTCCCTTGATTTTATTGCTTATATTTATTACATTGCCTACATTTATTGCATTTCAATGATTGTTCTTCATTTATTACTCATCATTGATCATAAAGAGCCCTTATCAAAGCTCTTAATACTGTTAGTCCTTCATCGGCCATCTCCAGTCGAGCTCATCAGCTTAACCTCGAGGCCCCGCGTAGGCTAGTTCGAGGCCCCGACTCATGGTCACTCGGTTTGCTTGCCACGCTATCTTCAAGCCCTTATCTTATTTTCTAGTCTCACACTTAACATCTACTGCCTAACAACTAGCACAAAATGAAATCTAATTGTAGTTACCATTTTCAAGGTAAATAGTTTGGCGCCCACCGTGGGGCTAAAAATAATAGTGATTGTTTTCGTGCTGGTTATTAAATAACGCAAGATATCCTTCACACTTTTTCTTGTCCAAGAATCTTTGATTTCAGGTCAGAATGTCTAACTCAGTGAATGTACATGAAAACAATGGCGCTGGGGACCATGGAGAGAATGGTGTAGCTGTTCCAGGTATCGGTGTACCACCAGAAAATCCTGAGGATGCACAAAAAAAAATTCCCGTGGATGTGGTCTCACGCAACACCCAACATGTCAATATAAGATCCCATACTAACAGGAGTATACACCAAGAGAACCAACACGAAGCTCGGAAATATCCAGCCCGGGAAGAAAGAGAGGCGGATGGGAGAAACGAAACAGAAAAACCCCAGCACATCGTTCTTATGATCATCGGAGGGACCGACGTTCCCCAAGGACCCGTGATCAAGCGGGCAAAGGTTTCCACTGTAATGGAAGGGCAAATTCGGGGCCGTATGCCTGAGGACATCCTTGCATTCAGTGATGAGGACTTCAAGACCTTGTCTCATCCCCATAACGATGCGCTGGTAATTTTATTTCTCTTGAATAACGTTCAAATTAAATGTGTACTTGTGGATCCAGGTAGCTCGGCCAATGTAATTAGGTCGAAGGTGGTAGAGCAGCTCGAATTGCTCGATCAAATCATCCCTACCTCCCGAGTCCTCAACGGCTTCAACATGGCCGGCGAAATAACAAAGGGGGAGATCACCCTCCCGGTCAACGTGTCTGACACAGTTTGAAACACAAAATTTCATGTCATTGAAGGTGACATGAGGTACGATGCATTGCTTGGAAGGCCATGGATAGACAACATAAGGGCAGTACCGTCAACTCTTCATCAGAAGATAACGTTTTTGACAAAAGATGGTATAAAAACGGTATATGGAGAACAACATGCGGCGAAGGAGATGTTTGCAGTTCATGAGGAGGCACCAACCTCAATACCCTCCACCTCGGAGGAGCCGGAGGACAAACAGACCCCGAGAACGATGAAGAAGACTTCCTCGCCCCCCGAACCTTTGTTGCCCCGAAGAATTTGATTCAACAAAATCAACAGTTGAAGAGCTGGAGCAAGCCGTTTTGATCGAGCATCTCCCAGATCGGAAGGTATACTTGGGAACGGGATTAAACCCCGAACTCAGGAAAAAATTCATTCAATTCCTTATTAATAACAACGATTGCTTTGTGTGGTCCCATTTAGATATGACAGGGATCTCGCCGGAAATAACCACCCATCGGCTAAGTGTCGACCCCAGGTTCAAACCGATGAAGAAAAAAAGAAGACCTCAGTCTGAGGTAAAACACGCATTCATCAAGGATGAGGTAACGAAACTCCTTAAAATAGGATCTATTAGGGAAGTAAAATATCCCGAATGGTTGGCTAATGTGGTGGTAGTTCCCAAAAAAGGGAATAAGTTAAGAATGTGCGTAGATTATAAAGACTTAAATAGAGTGTGCCCCAAAGATTCATTCCCGTTGCCCAACATCGACCGCTTGATCGATGCCACGGCCGGCCACGAGATCCTAACCTTTCTCGACGCCTACTCGGGGTATAATCAAATTCAGATGAACCCTGAGGATAGGGAAAAGATCTCATTCATCAAGAAGTACGGCACGTACTGTTATAATGTGATGCCCTTCGGGCTAAAAAATGCGAGAGCCACGTACCAACGCCTAGTTAATAAGATGTTTGAACATCAAATAGGCAATTCCATGGAAGTTTACATTGATGATATGCTAGTTATATCCCTGCACGCAGAGGACCATTTAACTCATTTGCAGGAAACATTCGACATACTTAGAAGCTACAACATGAAACTCAATCCCGAGAAATGTGCTTTCGGAGTGGGTTCGGGCAAATTCTTAGGATTCATGGTGTCAAACAGGGGTTTGAGATCAAACCCGATAAAATCAAAGCCATCGAAGAGATCACAATGGTAAACCATGTGAAGATCGTGCAACGGCTGACTGGGCGAATAGCGGCCTTGGGCCGATTCATATCGAGGTCGTCAGACAGGAGTCATCATTTCTTATCCTTACTCAAAAAGAAAAAAGCTTCGAATGGACTCTGGAATGCCAATGTGCCTTAGAGGAATCAAAGCGATATCTGACGAACCTACCTTTACTCCACACCTCGAAGGAGGATGAAATGCTGTATTTGTACCTGGCTGTGTCCGAGGTAGCGGTAAGTGGTGTGCTGGTTTGAGAAGAGCAAGGTACGCAATTCCCTGTCTGTTATGTAAGTCGGACCCTGGGAGATGCTGAAACCAGGTATCCGCACCCAGAAAAAGTAGCCTTTGCATTAATAAGCGCATCTCGAAAATTGAAGCCTTATTTTCAGCGCCATCGTATTTGTGTTTTAACAACATATCCTCTCCGAAGCATATTGCATAAGCCCGAATTATCAGGCCGTCTGGCCAAATGGGCGATCAAACTCGGGGGTTACGATATCGAATACCAACCCCGAACGGCTATCAAGTCCCAAATTTAGGCGAATTTTTTCGCCGACTTCACACCTGCCCTCGTGACCGAGGTAGAGAAAGAACTTCTACTAAAAGGGTCCGGACTCGGTATAGTCCTAAAGCCACCTACGGGTGGCATGATTAGGCAATCGATAAAAACTCCAAAATTGACTAACAACGAAGCCGAGTATGAGGCTATGATTGCAGGTCTGGAATTGGATAAAGGCCTAGAAACGGAAGTCATCGAAGGAAAATGTGATTCCCTTCTGGTGGTAAATCAGGTAAATGGGAACTTCAAGGTTCGAGAAGACAGGATGCAAGATACTTAGAAAAAATTCAAGTCACATTGCACCACTTCAAAGGATGGACTCTGGTCCATATACTCGAGAACAGAATAGCGAGGCCGATGCTCTCGCGAACCTGGGATCATCTGTCGAAGAAGATGACATACTCCCCGGAGTTGTTGTTCAGCTATCCAAATTAGTGATCGAGGAAGGCCACACCGAGATCAACTCCACTAGCCTGACATGGGATTCGAGAAACAAATATATCAATTATTTGGAAAACGGGAAGCTACCCGCGGACCCAAAAGAGTCGAGGGCTCTGCGAACTGGAGCAGCCTGATTCTCACTCGACGAAAATGGAACTCTATGTAGAAGAACCTTTGATGGGCCCCTAGCAGTATGCCTGAGACCGGGGGACACATATTACGTGCTCCGAGAAATCCATGAGGGCACCTGCGAAAATCACCCCGGTGCTGATTCCTTAGTCCGGAAAGTGATCAGAGCAGGTTACTTTTGGTACAACATGGAGAAAGACACCAAAGAATTCGTCCGAAAATGCGACAAATGTCAATGACTCGTACCGATGATTCACCAACCCGGTGAATAGCTACATTCAGTCCTGTCACCATGGCCGTTCATGAAATAGGGGATGGACATCGTCGGACCCCTACCAACTGCACCAGGTAAAGCTAGATTTATTTTATTTATGACTGACTACTTCTCAAAA